TTATCATCTGTGTTCAAACTGCAGTTCCATGAGCAACTTTTCATAAGGTTTTATTTGTACATTTTTATAGTTCACAGTATGTCAGTCAAATGTTTTCTGGTTTGGATATTGGCAGATAAATTCTTCTACTTTCTCTAGGGACTGTGCAGCCAAATAAAATTACTGTTTAGTTTCAGAAAGGGTTGAATGAGTAAAAACAGTGAATAAAGAAATTCAAATTTCAAAAGGAGTTGGTGGAAATTTTAAATCTTGGTGTCCATGTATGTATACATAGAAGTAACATGGGGAGAAAATGCAAAGAAAGACTATTTCTTCCTAGACTGACTTTATTTTAACAAGCCCATGTTTTCAATAATGGAGATTACCGCATTTTTTGCAGAGGATAAGGCTGAAACAAGTGTCAAAATGTGCTATTTTGAGAACAGTGAGCGTGCTGAAGTCAGGGACAGCATCCAGGAAGAAACCTGAGGAATCCCAATCCAAACCTGTGATCATTTTGGTAAACTTCATCTGTCTCAAATGTAAGCCTGACACCTATACCATAAATAAAGAAAAGTGTGGCTTGGGCTTGATTTATTTTTTTAAGCGCTTCAAGAGATATCTACAAAGCCTCTGTAAAAATGGCAAAGTACAAGGCGTACATGGATGAAAAGCAGCATGCAGTGTGCTGCTATCACCCTAAACACCATGCAAGGCACATACCACAGTGGGAAATCCTTCATCCACAACCACTAAGAGAAGACTGAAAAATAACGTTAGTCATTAAAGGGTTAAACTGTAAGATAGCTGCTTCAAGGAAAGGATAATCTATAATTTAAGTCCAGAGGGTGAAGCAGCTCTTTCATAATGTAAGTAAAAGCTGTGATGCCGTTGGAAAAACATGTACACTGCCTGCAGAAGGAATGATTATTTTGTTTTTTCCGTCATACTAGATTGCACAGAGGGGTGCACAAAGCAGCACTCTCTGCTCAGGAGGCTGGGAGGGGAAGGGGCACAAAGATACTGTGCCAGAGGAGGGGGGTCTTGTTCTGCCAGCACTGCTGCTGGTTCCTTTGGCTGCTGTCTACCATATTAGCTGGGCCTATTTACCTCCAGAGTGAATTTCATACAAAGAGCAGTAATCTCCCAAGAAGATGAAATGCAATTGGCTTTTTAAAAAAATAAGAAAAAAAAATCACACTGTGCTTTGTTTCAGAGTTTGAGATTTGAATGCCAGACAGGCTCTCCCATTCCTGTCATTCCTATCAAAAGCTGTGTATGTTGAAACACTGAAGTGGAAGGACTGCATGGAAAGCAGCCTTTTTAAGAAGCTGAGGTTTTGTAAGTACAGAAGCTGAGATGGGAGTGTAACAAAGACTCTGTGTTGTGCTGTTGCACATCAGAGCCAATAAAACCCTAAGGGGCACATCTCTAGTACCATGTCTAGCAGATTATGCATGCAACTCCAGTTGCCAGTAATGAGTTGTGTGGCTAATCTGTCATGCACAGCACTGCACAGCTCCCCTTCCCCCAAGGGGCTCAGCTCATGGCATTTTACCTCCCCCCCAGGGTGCTGAGCACTGTTAGATTCTCTTCAGTTAGTGGGACAGGAAAACACCGTGTTCCACCTGGCTGCCCAGCCAGAAAACAGAAAGGAAAACCATCTTTAACAACAACTCCCACCACCACAGACAGGGCTGTTAGACCCCAGCATGGTTAACATTCAGGGGCAGTTACCTGTCTACAGTGCCATGCCATGAATTAATAAAAGGCATTAGAAATCGCCCTAATGGAGCACAGAAAAGTCTGTCCCTTGTTTTATTTTCTCACTGATTTAACGATCCAAGTGTTTTCAATTTACAACTCAAATGCTTATTTACAAAAAAATTGCCAGCATGACAGAGTCCTCTTGAAATATGAAAACTCAAGTCATGCTCCAGCTCTGACAACATCACACACACACATTCTGTCACGCATCAGCTTTTGCTTTAATTGGAGCAGAGTCCAGGCTGCTGTGTAGCTGCGCTAGGTCTGTGAGGTTAATGTGATTACCTGCTTGTTCAAAAAAATAGTGAAAGAAGAATCTTTTCCCCAATACCCACCTAGCAAAAGAGTAGAAAAAAGCTTTTAAAAATAGCTGGTTTATTTCAATCTTCAGAAGCTGAATTTCCAGGGTGTCCATCAGTTGAATTTTTTCAGAATCATGAGTCTTTGAAGGTGAGTTATTAAATCAGCAGTTAATATTTATTTTAATATATGTGTTAAAATTGTCATAATAGCAGTGATGTTCCTATGCAATGATAGGACTTCAGTAATGGGGCTTTAAGAAAATAAAAATATAAATACTAGGACCTTTAGCACTAAAATCTCCAGAGTTGGTTATTTTCCTACAAATACACAGTACCTCTGCCTCGTGTTCATGGCCCTGGTCAGGTACAGGCTGTTGTGCAGGTGGGGCTGGGCAGCCCCCAGCCTGCCATGCTCCTCACTGCATACCCAGGCTTGCTTTCATTCAGCCCCAGCAGCCGGAGCCCAGCTCTCCAACACAAGGCTGGGAAGTGCCGTCAGCTTCAATTTCCCAGCTGCTGCCTAAGACAGGAGCAGATTTTCCCAAGCCTGCAGTATAATAAGGGCTTTTGGTTATTTTTCTGCCAGCTTTGCAATACTTGGAGATTGGACTCCCACTAGACTGGGTGTTGTACATGTTTTAAAAGAACTATCCATGCCCCTGGCAACACGCATTTTTCCTACATGCATGGACAGATGCAGCAAACAAGGAGAGCAGGAGGTGGCTGTGAGCACAAACCCGTCAGATGATGGAGGAGGAGGGGGACAGAGGTAAAAAGGCTGGCCATGCTTCACAGGTGGGATGGGTTGTCAGGAGCAGAGGAGAAAAAAATTGTGTTGAATAGAGGGAAGGTGAACGGTAGACCAGATGCCACGGAAGAAAGGGGTAAACACGAAAGGGACACAAACCCCAAGGCACCCGTCTCAGGTTTGGTTGAAAATAGAAGCTCCTTCCTTACAAAAGCAGATGAGAGGAGTATCAGTAAAAAAGATGCCAATTAGTAAGAATGTCAGGAAGGATGGGGCAGGGTGTTTGGAGAACGATGCTTTTTGTCTCTCCCTCACAATGACATGTTTTGAAAGCTGTTTTAAAACAAACCCTGAGTGTTTTCAACAATGGAGAGGACCCTTTATTTTTTTTTTTTTTTTGACAGGGTGATAGGAGAAGGGGATGGAATGTGTGATGTATATTGATAATGGTTCACAGGGAAGAGGCATCCAAGACCTGAAAGCCTGGCCACATCAGGAATATTTTTATCAATGGGTTATTTGAATATTTACATTTTGAAGAAAGAATCTTCTTTGTTTGCTCTGCACATCAGGGACTTCTTGGCCAGTCTAAACAGCAAGGGTTTCTAATGTAAATAATTTTTCTTCTGCCTTGTGTCATGCATGAGGATTAGAGGTGGGAAGTCTCTCAAAGAAGAGAAGAGGGTGCCTTGAAGAAGATAAGCCTCAAAAGTGCCAGTGGAAGTGGGTACATGAGGTTTTCCCCTCTGTCGCCCTCCTTGTCTCATCTATACCTGTGCACCTCCTGGGGTGGGGTGCTGGGATTTTAGCGTTTTATATCAGTCAGGTAATTTCTTTTGGTAAATTGTGTATATTAGCTGAGGAGGGAGGAGAAGGCTGGCTCAGAGCATGTGTCCTTGTCAGCAGATACCTGGTTCCCACCTAGCAGTAGTTGAT